AATTACAATATATGCGCAACAACATTGCTCCCTAAAAAGTGTAATTTTTTAGGTAAAAAATTAATAAAACTTGTATTTAGACTAGAAAAACATTTAAATAGCTTAAGTCACCATATTTCGTTATTTTTAGTAAATGATATGCATATATAAGTACTCTCTTACATATTAAGAAGAATGACCTTCTGCATACAACTAACTTTTCCGAATTAATTAAGTCATACTTAACTCCATTTTTTCTCTTTTAAATAAGAAAATCACATCGTTAAATTTTTTACACACAGATATATCCGCTTCCTTATTTAAATTTGGGCAAATAATTGAGTCAACAAAAATAGGGAAAAAGCACATATTCAACAAGTCGAGACTGCACTGAAATGATGTTAACAAAACAACAATAAAGTAAATGGCAAAAATGAGCATAAATTCAATTTTATTCAAGTACTAACACCTAGCAAACACTTGTTCGAGCAATAAACAGAAAAACAGCAACAACGAAAACAAAAAAGCGAAACCCACATTAGAAAAGACCGTGAGAATCGGCATAAAATCTTGCTGGAAAATCGCTTATTACATCAAATAAATGTACAAGTGGACATCAACTACCAACAATGGCGGTGAGTAAGTACGCCGTTACCACCACAACAACAATGCCAATAGGAACTGGAAACACTTTCGCTGACGCGCGACGAAAAGTGCTCAAATGACCGCAGAAGTCTTTCGCTTTCGCAGCAAGTTGAGCGTGCCACTAGCACCCTGCCGCCAACGACCGATGCCACCACAGTACCACAGAAGATGGTAGCAGCGCCACTTTGTGCCACAAAAGCATTTTTAACTTGGCTTGATTGCCACCACTGACCAAAGCCGACAATTAAATCATCATCACATAGCGCGCAACTTTATTGCAATTACAGCAACAACGTCTATATACGTTGCAATTTTACAGCTTCGGGTTGGTTGGTTGGCGAAGGGGAAATGCAAAAAGAAAATATAAAACTGAATGAGCGAAATGAAAATAGTAAAAACAAACAAAATGAATGAAAATTATGTGTGTGAAAGATGTTTAGAAAAAAAGCAACAACAACATCACATATTACAATAATTATAACTGTAAACTCGTGTTAGATCAGATTTTATTGATGCCGCGCTCCTGGCTATTTGATTGCTGACGTAGGCTGCCGAACTAATCGATTCATTGGTTGTAATTGCGTGGTGGCAGCGCGTGTTCGAGTGATCTCTGATGAGGCGAAGCTGTCAAGCCTACATAAATTAAAATAGAAAACAAGATAAATGTATGATATGTATCGGTGGAATAAAAAAGCTTTGGCCCGCGGCGTGGTATTATCAAATTTGTTACGAGTCATTTAATGAGTATGAAATTTAAGTGGGTATATTTGGGCTTTACAATTCTTAGTAAGACTTAAAGTTTTGTGAAAATATATATGTAATTGTGCAACAGGAAATTCACCAAGAAGTGTCCAACATTTCGATTGTCGGCGGCTTTCATTGCTTTGTACAAACTTTCCTTGACGAGTTATATTTAACAAATTAAGGCGCGATATTTTCCAGGTTTTCTTTTTATTAAAATGTCGCCTATAATTAGATCTGTTATATATAACATGTATTTTCAATGCTTTCATTGAGATATGTTGCTCTCGAAATCTCGATATATTTATCAAAATAAATATGATTGCATGTTCTAGGAGAACCAAGAAATGTTTTGTTCAATTTGATAGTATTTTGAACGAAATATATATTATCTGAGGGTTTTATTAAGATATCTCACATACTAAACCGGTAAATACCACATGAAGTCAACCAAGGAGTGAAAATCTAATCAGTCGGTAAGTCGAGTATGTATGAATTTGAGTACTTAACTCATTTTGGCAAGATTCTGAGCAAACAGATGATTGCTATCAGAGGGATGCTGTCAAATGGCTGATTTCAGATGGCAGCCATCAGATTCCTTCAGTTAGATGGTTGCTTCCAGTTGACTGTCAAATAGCTTTTGTCAAGTTGCTGCCCCATATCCGATATTAAAAATCTGTCAGTTGGCTGAGAAGAGACTGATATCGTATTGATGGTGGATAGTCGCTGTCAGATAACATCCAGAGGGCTACTATAAGCTAGGTCACGTGACCTTTCAGTTAGATTTTAGATAGTCTATGGCTTCTGAAATGAATGTAGGAGATCTTTGACTAGATATCTGTCAGATGGCTGTTGTCAGATAGCTGCTGTAATTTGACTGTCAGGTGCGTGCTGTCAATTATATGACAGATATATGACTGTCTTGTGGTTACTATTAGGTGGTTACTGCTTTCTAGAGACAAAAATAGAGCCTATACAGTTATAAGATTTCCAACATATGTAAATAAAGAAAGGCGATCCTAGAGTGGTGAAGAAGTCCAAAGTGACTTTTTCGATTTAAGTTAGGGATTTCTCTTTTTTATTTGTTTTTTATACCGTAAACTGGGTATAAAAAGTTTGTCACGAAGTTTGTAACACCCATAAGGAAACGTCGGAGAGCCTGTACAAATTTTACATAAATTATCAACATGACGAGCTAAGTGGATTTAGTTTTCGGGATATCGAACTTAAGTTTTGCATCCATATTTTTCTCATGCCAGGCAACTGTACAATACCCAAAGAAGTTGTTCAAATCGGATCATTATAGCGTATAGCTGCCATACAAACTGACCGATCAAAGGTCTTGTAAAGAATATTTGCTAGTTGTGAAGGTTATTATAGCATCAATTGCCTTCAATTGACCAGGATTTCAGAAGATGTTATGAATATTAGATATAGATTTGTATTTTTCATTGGAAATTAAACATTAATTTTGATTTTTGATTATCAAATCAATTCGATATTAAACCAAAATTTTGAAACTTTCTGTAACAAATGCGCTAACCACACAAAATGTAGAAATGTGTTCGTAAAAAATTTCAAACTACAATAATTTTATTTTTTATGTAGCCACGTGCGTAACAAACACCTCAAATTACTCATAATAACAAATACATATGCATAACCCAACCTGCTTCAAATGCAATTTCGCTACCCGACGATACAATCACAGCAACCGCGACTTGGAGATGTGGTGGATTTCGCATTTCTTTGCAATTATTGGCAACTGATCGCTTCAATGCAACGAATTTTCACTAGCGCTCGATTTTGCGGTGCTTAAGCCACATTAGAAATTGCTGTCTTATTTTGCCATGAGTGGCAATACAAATTGCCACATATTTCATGACAATGTATTGGTGCGTGTGCTACAAGTTCGGCAATTTCCATACAAAGCGGGCGCTGCGTTAAATTCGCCAACGAAGGAGTTGCAGTGTGCCAGCAACCTATGATTAAGCTATCAACAGTTCATCAGTGGCAAAAGCGCCGGCAGCCTACAACCGATGATGTTTAATGTGCGGCAAACCAGTAACATACTGTTATGAAGAGTTATTGTAGTTGTCATTACTGCTTTGAGACATCAATTTGCAGAGATTTTTTACATATTTTTCCACTTTGTTGCACTTGTTGTAGCCAATGCTTCATATAATATGATTTTTATGCGTATTTGGGGTGAGTTTGATAAATTTATTATTACATTTTAGATATCTTTTCTTGTTGTCGTATGATTTCAATTCATTTACAACGGGTTTTGTCTACGACTTTCAAAGATAATATTTAATATTATTTTTGGAAGCTTGAAACTTCAAGTCATTTTGTACTTCTTTCATATTCCTGACATAACTGGTGGCGTTGACATACGTATCTTGTAATAGTTTCAATTTTATCATATTTGATGGGTAGCAACCAGGATTGCGAATTTTATGAACCAAAAATTATTATTTTTTTCTAACCCGGTGTTGGTATTTAAAATAAAAAAATGCAAATTTAATTTTCTAACTCGAATAAAGTACGCAACGCAAAAAAAAATTAATTTTAAAAAAAATTTCTTATATTATATAATTCTTACAAAAATTATATATGTTTGGGACCAAAATTTATAATTTTATTTTTTTATTAATTTTAATGTATTTTTAATTTTTAGTCCTTTATGTGGAATTAAATTTTTTATTTATTTATTTATTAATTCAGTATATGGAACTATTTTTTTGTTTTTTTGCAATCCAGTATGTGGGATTAACAAAGAAAATTTTGTTCAAATGTTAATTCATTTATTTTCCTCCAATAAATTCCAACCAGAGTGGCTCAATTTTCGACAATTTTTGCAGCAAATGACAGGCGACTTTACATAACCTCACATAAAATAGTCCAACGGTGTTAAGTCGCAGGATCTTGGAGGCCACGTCACATACCCAAGACGCAGGATAATGCGTTCACCAAAAGTGACCTGCAATGAATTGATTGTTTCGTTGGGTGTATGGCATGTAGCGCCTTCTTGTTCGAGCCAGAGTTTGCCCACCTCAACGCTCTACAATTCTGTAATAAAAAAGTCATTAATCTTGGCTCTAGCGCGGTTGCGCTAATCGCACCGCTATTTCGGAAATGAATATGCACGATTTGCAAACGTTGTACAGGCGTAAGTCTCTTCGTTATGAAATGGCAAACTAAACTGAGTATAAATCAGGTAACAGTTGTCAAAAAGTGCTACTCCATAAAAACTATTGTCTCATTGAAACAAATGAGATACAATATAAATATAATTATAATAAATTTATTATACATTATTGATTATATATTTTATATCAATCAACATAATACAAGTATACTTATTTCACTAAATTATATTTATTTCCTTACAACTCATTACTGCCCTGCAAATAAAATCTGAAGCCCATTGTGGGTTTTCAAAGCATAGTCGTGTTTTTGGTTTTGAGGGAACTGCCGATAGCCTTAAAAAATCGAGAGATAAGCTTCGATAACTCTCAAAGCTGAGGGGTTTTTTTAGTTTGTATAATAAGATTTACTTAAAAAATATGAAAATATTTGAATAGGATGAGACTTTAAATTTATATTAACTTTTTACATTTTTTTCTTTTTAGGTATTGCAAACACTATCTTGGTGGTGCATATCGACAATGCCTTGTAAATTTAATGACACACGGCAAACTCCCTGTATATACAAATACAGTTTCTGCATGTTTCATGACTAAGAGATTCGTAGAAATATAATGTTCTTATGTGTTTGTGACAGTGGTAAGTTTGAATAAACGTTTTGCTAGTTAATGTTATTAAAGTACGTAATATGAAATATTAAAAAACAAACGTTTGGTGAGATTTCTGATAGGTTAGTTGTAGTAGGTTGGCTAGCAGTAGCGGTTTACCAATGACATTATAATCTCAATTATATCTTCAAGAGCTGTTAATGCCGGTACCATGTAGTTATCCTGAATGGCTGAAGAAGTGGGATCCAAATAATCTCAAAGTCAGTTTAGCAAAAGCAGTACAATTAGGAAGAAAATGTTGAGATGACCTCAGTTTCAACATCTTCGTGACAGTTTCGGTAGACTGCATCGTATCAATCAAAAAACTAAATTTTAATGCATTTTTAACACTGACGTTTCGGTTTGGAATGAAAAATTTTAACATTTGCTTAGAATATGGTTATGTTTGTCCTAGTGGGGAAGCGAACAATTTCTTAAATTTTCCTTGAAATATTCGAATATTTATATTTTGATCTTTCGTTATTAACAGGCGCGGCGATTTAAGCTCTTCTGTTCTTAAAGGGAAGTAATAGTCGTATATACAATTTTGAGTCATCCGAAAACTCACGTTTCTTAACTTTGATTATTTATCACTAATATACACACACTTTTTGGTCGGAAACTAAATTCTAAGTCCCCCACCTTCCTTAGAGTCCACCAGTATGTTGATAATTCACCTATATAATGTACTGGTGGACTCTTAGGAAATTGGGGGATTTGAAACTTAGTTTCCGACCAAAAGGCTGTAATAACCGACTTTTGCTAATTGTGATCATTGTAAAGCGGACAGTGTATAGCTGCTATAAGAAGCTTCCCTTAAATATGCTCCATTGAATCGAAGGCGACTTTAGCCTTATATGGACCTCTCTTTGTCCAATAAGGCATATCCCATGAACTCTCAAAACACCGCCAAGATGCCGGTAGAACTTTAAACACCTATTATATAAAACTATATATATATATATATATAAATATACCTATACCTAAACATACCATATATCAAATTTGATCACTTTCAAAGCATTCAGCTATATTTTTAATAAAAAACCATGTAATGTAAATAATAAAAAGCTTTTTTCACTGAAAATATTTATTTATTGATGATGAATGCAGTGATTTCAATCACTAAAAGTGAAAATAACACACGCATACTTTTATTTCCATTATTTCTTATGTATAAATTAAAATTATTGGTTATAAAATTTCCTTCGATTTACCAGACACGCCTTTATAAACATTGTATTTTTTGTATTTTTGTTTTAAATTTTCTCCGTCACTCATATTAACTTTTGAGCGATGGCGCTTCTTTTATGAGTCTGAACCTAAGATATATGATTAATTTCCTAGACACTTTGGCATTTTTCAACCAAATAACTACGCACCTTTTATGGTTTTGCTTTGTTGTATTTGTTGATAATATAATTTTTTTGTAGTTTTGAGCTTTTTCCCATCCACTTGATATCTGCCCATTCAGCTTTCATCGTTGACTAATCGAATTAACTGGCCTTTTGGTAATTCTACGATTATATAATTTTCTAATATGTTGCTGTTCATGTCTACTTATTGCTTTCTTACCATTTCTGCTTATGTTTTTTATGAATTTTTGTTGACACCATTGCCGTTACAAACGCAATATCACGTACTAACAAAATTATTTATGTGTTAGTACAACTCAATTTCAGGGCAGTAAAGTCTTAGCTATTTAATCCGACTATGACCAAATAGTTTATTTTCATATATACACATACTACATTTTTACATATACATAATATTATAATTTATTGTTGTTGGTGTACGGAGTCAGTGAAAGTGTTTGGTTTTTATTTAGGTTTCTTATTCTTCCTTTTACTTAGCGTGCGTAGCGCGTTTTAGTGTATTGTTGCTGCATCGTTACTATTGTTGTCGTATATACAACAGCTATGTTAACTGGTCGCGGTCGAAATTTTAATTATCATCGCTTTTCTCTTCTATATGCATATCAAGATGTTAATACTTAGTCACTTGACTTTGTAGGCTCACATTTTTATAGTTCAGCTACGTTTAGGAAAGTGTGTATGTGTGAGTGTATTAAATCAAATATATGAGTAAATCGGTGTTTTTAATAGTATTAGCAACATCGTTAGTGCTTCTTAGCTATGTTGTAATACAAAATTGATCGATATACGCATGTAAATCAATACATAGCAAGCTTTTTTATCAAAATATCAAGATCTTTTAATTAATTACTCCTCATAGGAAATATAAAACAAATCTTTCTTTTCTAGCTATAAAATAAACATCTCCTTCCACCGATTGTGACTATTTGGTGGCTGAAACAGGAAGTGATTTGAAAAAAAAAAGATACGTGTGGCACTCGGGGACTGCCGCGGTAAAGCTATTGCATAGCACTTTTTATCAACTTATGCAATTATAATTACTTATTTATTTATTTTTTTTGCAAAATTTTTTTCTTTGACATTAATTACCGATAAGTAAACACTTTTTTTTTACTGAATAAATGAGATGATGTTTAAAATATTTTATTATCTTACAATACAATATGTAGGCATTTTTTTCTGTAGGTTTTCAATCTAGCCCTCCCTCTTTTTAAAATTGCTAAACATCAGACCTCCTAAGCTTTGAACGTGGCCTGAGTTCAGGAGGTTTTGACGTTTATCAATTGCGCTCTTATTTCCAGTGAGAGATGAATTTGGACATCTCTTTATCTCTGAGTGAAACTATATGTTTATGATAACTAAAATAAGAAACATAAGTTTGAGACTTGATATCCTCTAAATATCTGGAAAATACCGCGTCAATGGTGGCCCCATCTTTTGTTGTGGATTCTTGTGGATTATTATTCATTATACTCTTGCAACATGTTGCAACAGAGTATAATAGTTTTTTTTTCAAATTAAAATTTTCCGTAAGAAAAGTTGTCAACTGCTCTGATTTTTTATCAGCAAAGTGGTGTTGAAATCGCCAGCCAAGATAAGTGGAAATTTATTAACATCAATAATACGATTGAAGTATCTAATTTGTATTGTATTGTTTAATTCCAAAAGGTGGGGTAGCTTTTTACCAAAATAATAATAATGTTACTAATATTATGACTCCGAAGATTGAATAATTTTTTTGTTCTTAACTAAATTTTTATTAAATTGCATATTTATATTGCCATAAAAAAATTGTAATTTTATATTATTTTTGAATCAACCTGCTCCTTAATTGATTTGTTTCGTGTGAGATAATACGCCTAAAAGTATGCAAAAATTTTGCGCATGCTTTGTGATCGTGTTAGGTTTATTTTCGTTACGGAATTTCTTGACTCGGTCGCCGCGCTCAAAGCCCGCGATGGAAGCCATGCAATAGCTTGAAAATATTTTAGGCAGGAAATATTTTGTAGTGTCTATTTGGAATAAGTGATGCCACCTATTTAAAAATTTGATTTAAATAAATTTGCAAAAATCATATAAAGTTGTTATCAAAAGTAAAATAGAAATCAGTAAGGAAGGGTTAAGTTCGGTAATATATTTGACAGGTTGGCCGATATTTTCAGATATTATGTATCTGGAGGCTTGAATAGTTTTGGTCCATTGCACAAGAGACGGACGGATTTAAGAAAGTTTAACATACATACTTTTTTTTTTTAATTGTTGTTGTTTGTAGTGTCATTTAGGTGGAATCCTATATCTCGGGGCTTACTCTACCAATTTCATTCAAATTCAGTAGGTAATATCCTGACTTCCTACATTTCAGTGCGAAAATTGGCAAAATCAGACAAAAACTTCCAATATAACACAAATTTAAATTGCATCTGATTCTTTCATTTTCCAGTATACGAATTAAACTTTGCACGAATAGTGCCATTGATGTTTGCCATCTTATGATCAAAAATTGATCAAGTCGAACCAAAACTATATAAACCCCAAAATACCGAATTTGTGGTCGCCAGTTCCTTTACTTGTTAATAATTTAATTTTGATAATAACATAAAATTTTTTTTTCACAATTTATTTCATTAAAAATTTTAAACAAGTTGTATCGCTTATCCCAAATAGACATCACAAAATATTTTCTGTTAAGTTTGACACCGAAATAAATGCTTAAGTCACGCTCAGTTTTCAATTTTTATTACTTTTTTGTTTTTTTCCTTTCTGTAACTCTTTCACAAATTATAAACAATTTGTCAATAACAAGCGCAAGTTCTTGCAGTGTCCACTTTGATTATCTAACTTTTACTTTTGCTTTCATTTAGCACTTCACTTGATAATCTTTCACTTCAAGTTCGTTTCTTAAGTCTTTTGTTTAACGACTTTTGTGCATTGTGTACATTCACTTTTATTTAAAAGCAAATATTTCCACGGGGAAAAGAAAAAACATAAAATGCATAAAAGTATTATGTATAAATGGTTCGACCGTTCGCACGCTCAACACGAAGCGCTCGAGGGGCATGGCGCACCAGTAGCTATATGTTGCAGTTGCGCTTCCTGGGAAAATTCTGTGTATGACTTCATCGCCATCATTAACAAAAACATCAAAACCATAATTAACAAGCCGGAGGCAGGAAAATAGCGCTGGTATTAATTGTAGCAGTCAGCAACAACTAAAACAGCTGTAATGTTGACCAAGCAATAAAAGTGGCAGCTCCACTGCAAACACTCACTCGCCTTGCTTCAATATATTTCTTGTTGTTTTAATTTACTGCATGATGCATTGCATGTCATTTCAATAATTTTTCCTTTTGTTTTCATTAATTTGGTGTTTGTTGTTGCTTTTTTTTAATTTTAATTTTTTAAAAATATTAAAAAAAATTTTTTTATATTTTCTTTTAATTTGTTTGCTTGTTTTGGTTTTTTTTTGCCGCTTTTACTCTCCTCATTGAAATGTCACTTAGAGTGCTGCGCATATCTCTCATTTTTACTTACCACACTTTATGAAGGAAAAGTTAAATCATTGAGGAAAAAAGCACCAATTTCATTGACAGTGAAAAGAAAGTGAAATTCTACGGCA